AAAGTAATACAGTATTGACTAAATTTGAGCGGTAATTTTGCTCTTCCGAGACACTGGTTACAAAGATACTAATGGAGACATTTGCCAAGAAATCTACACAGAGACCTTCAGCGTTGACAGATTCAAGCACTGAATCTGAAGATGAAAAACATCTCTGCCTTTAAGGGAGAACTTTGTAAGCGGGAAGCATAGGACTGCAGGGTCAAATATACTTTTAATCTGTCAGCAAACATGATGTCGCTAGCACACCAGGTTATTTTATCAGAATAAATTGTTCTGCAGCATAATAGCAGTGAGGAGCAGTGGCTGTGTCAGTGTGTGACAGGAGCTGCTGTTTAACAGGAGGCGCTCTTGACGCAAAGAGACAAAAGGAATTATTTAGGTAATAATTTGTGTCGAAATAGAAAGCGAGAAACAGAGAGAGGTGAAGATTACCATCTACGATGCTAACTATCCCAGAGCAGAACTCGAAAATAACCTACACACGAATCCTGAAGCTAGTCACGAGCTTTCACCCATCGTGATCGTTTCCGCTATCACTGGTGTCAGACATGATGGAACCGGATCAATGAAGAGCATTCTTACCACCGAACAGAATGAAACAATTAGTAAAGTCATTTCCCTTGTGTGAAGTGGGGTTGATAATGGGGAGAATTCAGTTCCTTTATGGGAATCACCCCAGCTTTGAATTCAGCCTCAGAATTGTATCAGTCATGAAAATTATAATAATAATCCTTGCATTTGACGTAGCGCCTTATTATGTCTTTGAGACGTCTCAAAGCACTTCACAGAATATACGGTACTGTAAAGTGAATTGACTGTATACTTTGTGGGCGAAACGCAGCAGCCGATTGCGCACAGCAGTGTTTCACAAACAGTTGTGGATTGAATGACCGAATTATTATTATTTATTTACCCGGAGGGATTATTCCCCTGAAAAGTGATTAATTAATCTGATGATATGTTTCCATTCCCATTGTTTTGCTGAGATCACCAGGAATATTGGTAACTGTACATTTGTAGGTAAACATGGCAGACAATTTGTGAAATCAATCCCATTAACAGCCACGATGTCGCTAAATGACAAGAAACAAATCGTAGTGGTGAATGACAAGAGTTTTAGTAGTTTATTCCAGACTATTTAAGAACCACATCTCATGCTATAATGCCAAATTGCTACCATTAACAAAGGAATAGAGGTACTGGACAATTAAGCTATCAATTCAATGCCATTTAAAGCTCTTCAAATGAAATTGTCTCTAAACTTAAAGGAATTGAAAGTTAAATTACACTTGTATTTACTAAATAACTTTTAACACAGAAGAATATCGATAGCAAAACTTCAAATGCAGCAACAGTATTTTAAAGTAGTAAATTGCTGTACAAACCAGTGGGTGATTAAGAATATAAATTTTACATACAGCGAACTAGCATGAATTTTGAATGCGTTCAGTGAAAATATTTTGTAAGCTAGGTCACAACATGTTGTGGGTTTGCATGCGTCACTCATTGCTGTGACAAGCTTTGGAAGGAACCCTGAGTGGAGATACCACCCTCGGGAGAGAGTGACACATCAGTCACAAAGTCAACAGATAAACTCCGACATTCACCCAAAGAGGCTTTCAATTGACTCTCTGGGATCTGATTGATGATATGCTGGGCAGTAAGGAGTTAGACTGCGAGAATCTCATCAATGTGCATCACATTATTTCGATGGATGAGAGATTGTCACATAATCTAACTCCGCAATGCTGTAAAACACTTTATAAAGGACTGTCTCCACAGAGATGGTTACATCAATTTACGGTGCCCTGTGCAGTGTTTAGCATCATTGGGCTCAGAATGTCTTCTACATTGCTGTGAAAATAATGTCCACCTGAATAGATCAGATTAACATCCAATCCAGAATCCCGAGCTACAATAATGAAGCATTCCCCAGCAATGTGTACTGTCAGCCATAACTAGAAGCTCATAGTCCAGATTTAGTGCTTGATTGTGCAAACTTCTGACTCCGCTATCAACTGAGCCAAGATGATACAGTACCAAGCATGGTTTTCAAAAGCCTGCAAATTGTTGGAGACTGAGAATATTGATTGCACACACGTCTTCAAACACCTCTCTAACTCTCTGACCTGCTTTCTCCCCAATCCACTGCCCGTCACCTCAACTCAACTGGCTCAGCCCTCCTGCTTGTCCCTGTTACCTCCGTTCCACCGTCTCAAAGCGCTTCACAGAATATGTTGTAAAGTGAATTGACTGTATATTTTGTGGGCGAAATGCGGCAGCCAATTGCGCACAGCAGCGTCCCCACAAACAGGATTGAGTGACCAAATTATTAATTTTTTTTTCTTGGGGGATTATTATCAGGCGTGTGGAAACTTGCCCAAGGTTTCACCCCCTGCCGGGAATCGAACCCAGGTCTCTCGCTTGCAAGGCGAGCGCTCTAACCACTGAGCTACAGAACTCCACGCCCCGAAACTCTGGAATACTCACTGTAATTCCTTCCGCCTTGTCCTCTCTGTTCTCCAACTTCAGGTCACGTCTGAAGGCTTTCCTCTTTGACCGTGCTCATGGTCACTCCAACCCCAGGCTCAGCATCGGGCTCCACTGCTGTCAAGCTGCTCTAAGACACTATCCTAAACGAAGGGGGCGCTATATAATGCATTGCTATATAAAATGCAGTTGTTGTTGAGAAAAATAATGAATTCTAGTGTTCAGCTCTTGAGAGAGGTTGAGCAGAGGCCAGCATGATGAGGTTTGAAATCAGAGCAGAGAAGACGAATGCTACAATTTCCCAGGACAAGGATCATTTAATGTGACAAACTCTTGATTAATTAAATTCATCTGCGCTGACTGATAAGGTGTAGTGAACTTACTCTGGACGTTGATTATAACTAAAGAGGCTGGCAGTTGTCATTGAGGTGGTGATAACGACTTTGATGGTGATCAAGTCCATGGTAATTAATCACAATTGAATGCAGACACCACATACTGCATTGTTTTGCTGAACCACCACTAGACACTACTGTAATAATAATCCTTGCATTTGATATAGCGTCTTCTAGACGTCTCAAAGTGCTTCACAGAATATACTGTAAGTTCAATAGACTGTATATTTTGTGGGCGAAACACGGCAGCCAATTGCACACAGCAATATCCAAATTATTATTAGTTGTGGATTGAGTGACCAAATTATTTAATTTTTTTAAGGGATTATTACACCCAGAAAAGCCATCCACCAATCGACTTAACAACCGGGTTCCTACAATGCTAGGTAAACAGAGAGGGGCGCGGAGAAAGGAAACTTGCCCAAACACTACACTACATGTCGGTAACGTGAAAACATTGCTGGATTAGTGTGGATTAGCGAAGTCCGAATTAAATTGTCTTCACGGTCATTTGCTATTTGAAGTGGTAATTGCAGTCAGCCAGGACTCATCTCTTTCTTGTCTGGGGAATTGTGTGCGTTTTATCCAGGTGTGTCTCACTCAATGATTTGGAGGATGAGGTTAATCAATGGCCGGTCCATGTCCTGAGAATAGGAGCTCCCCTTATAGAGTGCGATTTATGGTTACTGCTCGAGCGAGTAAATGGACAGAGTTGTTCTTACCGGAATGACATGAAATCCTTGCGTACTTCTACCCATGATGTTCCTTCCTGTTCTCCAGGCGACACATGTTGGATATGTTTGGTTCAGAGCTGAGGTCAATTAGCAAACCCCATTGCATATTTTAATGGGGTTCCTGGGTCTTTTCTCCCTTTTATACAAGTTTAAACTCCTTCTCCCACCTACAAACCTCACACAGCCAATTGTCAATTTCCCTGAAATTATCCCAGAGGTTTCTCTTCACTTCCTTTTGAAACTTTTTTTTGGGGGTGGGGGGAATGGGGGGGTCAAAAATAATCCATCCAGAAAAATATTGATTTGAAATTTGAATTGCAATTGACCACAGAGCTCACTGTTTTGACGAGAGAAGTAAAGCCACCCACGAACGGGTTCGAATCAGATTTATTTTCTCCGAATTTCTGGTAGAGTTTCAACACATTTAATATCAATCACCAAAAAAAAAACACGTGGGAAACTGGGGTTCATTTGGCTGGTTTGGTCTAGGAAGGTTCAGTGGGAAAGTGAATGGGGGAACATTGTTAATTCCCAATGGATTAAGCAAATTAGATATTGATGACCTCCTTATTCTGCTTTGACATGTACAATGATACAGACACACTTTGTCACTCACTCACTGTGTTAAGAAAACCAAATGGTTGATTCTCCCATTAAACCAGTCAAAAGAATGATTGGCAATGTTGTTTTCTCTGCATTCTTATCAGATAGAGTAACTCTCTACAGTATTTCCTATTCAATGGTTGACGGGTGCGACCGTGAGATTTGATATAGAAAAAAAAGGAATTGAGACATGCGTGTGTGTGTGTCTGTGTGTTGCACTGACACAGATAAAGTATGTCTTTGGGTTTCAGAGAGAGAGTTTGGCAATTCGAACTGAACAATTCGAGGAACGACTGAATGATCTGAACAGTTAAGGGCCACTTAAAAGCGAAAACGCACGAATCCCTCAAGGCATCGAAGTTTTGATTCACGCTAATGCGAAATGAACATTTATTTAAGGATTTGTTTTTGTAAAAAAAAAACTCAATAGAAATACTGTCAAACTATTGGCAGACTTTTGCTCTCCATCACCACATTAGGACTAATTCAACATTTTGATTGGAGATTCGACAAATGCTTTCAGCCTTAAAATTCAATGTGTTTTAGGTTTTTTTTAGGCGTTTTAGGTATTTTTCTCCCTCTTTGTTTTGGGTGGATTCCCTCTATGCTTCGATTCCCATTAAACATTTGCAGTCTCTGGCCTAAAATGAGTACATTTGACATGCATTACAGTACTGAGACCATGATTACATCAACGTTAACAAAGGAAGCAGAACTTTATGAAGCCCTCGCCGCACACACAGGGCGGTTGAAAACAACTCGGGGGGGGGGGGGGGGGGGGGAGAAAAGGAAAAGAAAATATCAGGTTACAACAGAGCAAATCAGGACACAGTGTCTCATTTCATTCTTGCCCTTCCATCTCATCACCCAAAGCCACGCTTCTTCCTGGGTGCTGCCTCTTCTCCTCCATCTGGCTTCGGTTCATGTTCTCCAACAGCTCCAACAGCAAGCCAGCTTTCCTGCAACTGGTAGGGGGGCCGTTTAGGTCACAGGGGAAGGGGAGATCGCTGCTCTCTGGGTCTAAGTATCTCTTCCCTGGGTGCTGGCGTCTCTCAAACGGCAGGTTCTCGCTTGAATCCCTCTCGTCCTCCCAGCTCCTTCTCCCAGGGTGCTGGCGCTTGATGTAGGTCAGGTATCTCTTCCCAGGGTGTTGTCTCTTGGCCAACTCGCCCAGGAAGGCTAACTCTTGGCCGGGGGTTTCTGAGAACTGATCAGCTGTGGCTCTCCTGCCTGGATGTTGCCTTTTCTGCAGGTCCACGAGGTCATCCTGGGTCTCTCTCTTCCCCGGGTGCTGTCTCTTCTGGGTTGGTGTCAGATAATCATCATCATCGTCGTCCCCACCATCATCATCACCTTCATCTTCTCGTTTCCCAGGGTGCTGTCTCTTCTGGGCATCTAGATAATCGGTGATCTCTCCTTGCCCGTCCTCCCGCTTGCCTGGGTGTTGCCGTTTGGAGACCCATTCGGGTTGCAATGAATCAGTGTCCAACGCTTTGAAGAATAACAGAAGTCTGTGAGCCCCACTGACACACACATAGTGAAGAGTGGCCAACATACATCACCCCCTCTCCCTTTCTCCACTGTGATGTGTTGTATTCACCTCACCAAATAAGCTTACAAGAAGCTCCAGTTCAACCCGACCCGCTGTTAAACTGAATCGTTTCATTGCCTTTTTATTGACCACCAAATATAGAGTTAGTTGACTCAACTCTACAGTATATTCTGTGAAGCGCCTTGAGACGTCTCGAAGACGCGATAAGGCGCTATCCGAAATGCAAGGATTATTATTTCTTTTCTCATGATTCGCCAGATCAGTAACAACTTTCTTTCCTGCCTCAGCAAATGTGCGGAAATGGTGTTGATTTCGAGAAGCGTTAAAAGAAAGAACCGTACAATTTCCCTTATTCTCTGGAGGCTTTAACATTTGAAAAATGTTGATGTGAATGGAGAGACGGTTATATTAGGTAATATTATTAATAATAATCCTTCCATTTGATATAGCGCCTCATCGCGTCTTCGAGACGTCTCAAAACCACTTCAATACTGTATAAAACAAACTAATTGTCTGCAGCCTCTTACCTTTTAATCTCCTTTTCCTTTTAATCTTTCATTTCTTTCCCTCTTTTAGTTTTTACATGGTTTTAATCTTTTCCTTTCCTCTCTCACTCCTTATAACCTTTGTCACTTTGTTTCGTATCACCCCCCCACACACACACACACACACACAGACCCACACTTACACACACACTTTTCCCTTTCATTCCCACTTTCTATCCTTCAGAGTCAATTAAAAAAAAACACAAACACATGTAACAACAGACCAACAACGAGAAAGAAATTGATTGGAAAATACAACGTATAAAGCCATCAAACTGTGAGAGCCAAGGGGTGGGAGGGTGGGGGGGCAGTTATAACTAGTAAAAACATTATTTAACAACGTTATTAAAACATTGGCCATGAAATACATGTAGTAACTGTGCAGTAACTGGTTGGATCAGGAGTGTCTAAGACAGGGAAGGGATAGGGTTGGGGTTGGGAGTGGACATGAGGATGGATGGATGCAGGTAAGAGTTGGGGTGGCGGTGGGTTTACCAGTGGGGCTATCCTCCTCCTCCTCTTCCTCCTCCTCTCCCATCTTCATCAGGATGGAGCGAATGATGCTATTCTCCGCTCTTCGCAGGATATCGCCCAGTGGGATCTTCCCATTGCCTTCTCTGTCCTCTGCCACAAGTTGCTGACCGGCTCTCACAGATGTGTTGCAGAGGGTGAGGCAGAGCATCATCAGCATCAGCATCAGCACCAAACGTCCTGAGCTCATCTTGGTCACCAACAATAAATAAAAGTGTGGGGGGGAGAGAAGGTCTGTGTGTTGGAGAACTCTGTGAGGGCAAAGGATGGTGAGGATGGGGTTACAACATAACAGTGGAAGAACAGTCGAGGGCAACATGATGTCTCTCTCTCTCTCTCTTGCATTCCTCTCTGCTGGAAAGGACCCCCATCAATCCATCCATCCACCACCCACCCACCCATCCATCCATCCATCCAAACCAGCAGGTAACCAGCTCACTCCCCACACAATATATTAATAAGCAAAGGGACAAGGGAAGCAGTCACTAAATAAATCACTCATTCCATAACCGACTGAATAACTAACTCACTCACTCACTAAATAACTAACTCACTCACTAAATAACTAACTCGCTAAAAAAAAAAACGAATTAAACACATGCCGAAATAAATAGCTGACTAACTAAATAAATGACTAAATGGGCTCACTAAATAAATGCCTGGCTAAATCACTGAGCAGACAAATTAATAACTAAACAACGAAATAAATAAATGACTAAATACATGACTAAACAAATAAACGAAGAGCTCACTACATCCAAGAACTGCACAAATAACTGAATGCACATCTAAGCAACTTACAAGCTAAATAAGTGAAATAAATCAAATAAATAAATGCACAAATAAACAAACGTCTGCCTTCCAAGATGTTATTACTGTTAAGAACTGGACCTGTTGTTGTTACCTGCTCTGGTGTCAGGCTGGGATCTGGGATCTCTCCTTTATTTTCCCCTTCAAGCAATTGATGCTCCCACACTGTTCCTCTTCAAAGATGCTGTGGCCACTTGAACACAGGGGACCAGACCTGGAGTGTTGCTATAACTCGTTCTTGAACCAGTTTACCTCTGGCAGATAAAGGCTGTCCTTTATAGTGGTCTATACCAGATCACACCCCCACCACCACCACCATCCCCAACCCCTCCCTCCCTCCCACCCCCACGCAATCCAAGTGAATGAATACCAGATTGGTGAGTCTGTTCTTCTCTCTCTCTCTCTCTTGATATGAAGGAATTGGGCTACTGAAACATTAAGACTGGCTTGACGTCAGTGCATAGATTTTATTCTTTCCAGAAGTCCCTCTCTGTTGCCTTCAGATGGTGCAGGAGTTAACAGGTCCAACAAGTCGAGGCTAAACTGGAGTTAAAGCCTCCTAAAAGTATTGATTTTCCAATATTTTTTTGATGTATTTAAAGAAAAAGAAACACATCATCATTTGCTCAGCAGATAAATAATCATACTTAACACGTCCCTCGGAAACCCGACAATCTTGTTGGCGACGGAAGAAAAATACAGGCAAATACTTGGTGAACAGCAATAATAATAATAATCCTTGCATTCGATGTAACGCCTTATCGGTTGTTGAGACGTCTCAAAGCGCTTCACGGGACATACCGTATAAAGTGAATTGACTGTGTATTTTGTGGACTAAGCACTTTTCTTCCGGTCGTGTAAAACACGCGACTCCCTTGAGGTTACATTAATTCAGTGAAGATTTTCTGTGGCGAAGGATTAATGAGTTGAGTTGCTCAGTATTTATAAGATGCTGTGTTGCCTGTCAGAATTTGTGGGTTGAGTTGCTAGCATTTACCTAGTAGGAACAAAGAGGTAAAAGGCAGTAAATTGCCAGGTACGTGCAGCCGGTTTAATCCTTCTACGTCCCTTCTGTGGTATTTGCATTTGCTGCACTTCATCATTTATCTTGACCTGGGGACCTTAGATCTTCAGTTTAAATGTCCCCAAACCGAACCGCTAATTTCATTTGAAATTATTACCCAATTAATCAAGCCACTAATTCTGACAGGCAACACTGTATCTTATAAATACTGCATAACTGACCTCATAAATCCTTCTCTACGGCACATTTTCACTGAATTAATGTAAACCCGCAGGAAGTCATGTATAATACATGACTGGAAAATACATGCTAAAGTACGGGATTAACACTGGAGTTCGTTATTTGCCGTTCAAACTGCCTTAGTTTTCATTGGGGAGAGGGATACTCTCATGGTAGAATCTTGGAACAAGTTTCTCTTTTTAGTGTATCCAGAGCCCTTTCTTTACCTCCCTAATAAATCCCAAACCCTGAGTTTCAATGCACTGAATTAAACTGGTACAAAACCGTGTACAAAATAGTTAGAAATTAATTACTTTCGAATGCATAATTCAGACAGAATTGTATGATTAACATCCAACCACCAAGGTAATGTTATTGCCGGTTGCCGCCTTACATGATAAATGTCTCTATTGCAGTGTCATCTTTACTCCAATATTGGCAGGTGTTTAGATTGGAGCTGACAGGGTCCTTTGCGCTGGTATAAATGGTTTCATTATCAAGCAATCAACGCTTGGTACTAGTCATTCTCACGAAAGGAATTGAATGATTTGTTTATGTATGAGTTACAGACATGTGGATGTGAAACTTTGGCGTCTGTTTGATGCATTTATGCAGGAAAGAGGCAAAAAAAAGGACAAGGAAAACGTAAAGTAAGGGATCAGGAAAAACGATGAAAGATGAGAGCATGAGGAGCAAAGAGAGGACACAGTTGTACACAGTTATTCTATATATTCTAAGGTTTCTTATTGATCTTTTGTCAGGTTAGCTGCTATTGGACACTCTTTGAGTGAGTGAGTGAGTGAGTGAGTGATTTGGACAATGTACTGAAATAGCACAATTAGGGTAATTCAAACACTGTTAATTGGTTGGTTCATGGAATTTTGCAAAAAAAAAACAAATAACAGCAGCTGTTTGAGAAGCAGCGTTGATTTAGTGTTTAATGTGTTTAATATTTGTTCATTTTTGCTTCTGCAAAAATCTGTGAACTGCAGTTGGAATCTTATTGTAATCTGTAAAGCAACGTATAATTATAGCACTCAGTTTATCTCAGGATAGAGGAACAGGTGTGCTATTGTGTGTGAGTTTATAGAATGCCATTTAATTTGACAAAGTTTCACTTAGAGGTGTCACATTATTTAATTTACGATATAGTTATTTTTAATAAACTGTATATGTGCACGTTACATTTGTATGGACACTCAATACACTGCACATTAATACTCTGGGAGTCTGCAATTATTCTTCAATCAGATTTCAATCTGCACTTCAATTCCAGTATTCTGCCAACCTTCAATTAGATTCCACACTGTAACTGTATGTTCTATATATAAAGCATAAGTACTTTATAATCATACAATGATTATCCAAACCCTTCAATTAGATTCCAGCTACGAACAAACTCTTGGGGATATTCTATTCTGTACATACATATTCTATACATCTATTCAAATATTTTATACGTAATCCCCTCAATTGGATGCTACATTTATTTTATTTCTCCCTCAACTGCAGTTAACTTTCTCTACTGAATCCCACCTCACGTCACACTCCAGTCTTTGACTCAAGGAACGTTAGACATTTCAAGCTTTCCAATTTATTATCTGAGTGTAGTGATTTATGTTCGGGTTGTTTCCCAGACCTTTGATACCTTTCTCTCCAAGAGACTGATCTTAATGTGTGAGCTTGCACAGTGAGTTTTGGTAGAATATGGAATGACAGAAATTGCAGCATAGTGGAGGTCATTCAATTCATTATTCCAACATTTCAACTTGCTATTGGAGCTAACCAGCCTTATCTCAATTCTCTGCACTTCCCCTATCATTTTACGTGTTAAACTCAAACTCAAAATCAATTTATTTTATTTGCAAATAACTAACAAGTGTGGACCAAACTTGTTTACATTGCAGGTCTCATTTGGAGAGAAGAGGCGAACCTATATAAAACACTAAACCAACATCAACCAACATCACCAATGCTGCCTTAAGCTATTACGATAAGCTATTACGATCTTCTCCACGCTTTCCCCTGGGCGTATCACAGCTTAGTTCAATCTTGTCATCACCCAATATTCATGCACACACTCTCCATAATGATCAGAACAGGAAGTCTATCTGTCTGATTTTCCCCTTATTAGCCTTGGCACACTAAGGCCACGAACTAAGAAATTTACCATCTCAAACGTTGCCCTGGCTGAGATCAATGAATTGACTAAAGAAAAGGAGTTAGACTGAACAACTTGAGGCTCTCTGTGACTTGCAGCTTTTAGAATTTAGGGTTTGTGTAAAATGTTGAAGCTGGTTTCGTTTGACGCTTACAGACACCTACTTTTCTTCAGTTAAAAATAGGAAGACAATCAGTAATGGTCTCTGAGCATCTCACCTCCACCATCAACTTGAACGTTTCGCCCACAAAACATACAGTCAATTCACTTTACAGTATATTCTGTGAAGCGCTTTGAGACGTCTCAAAGACACGATAAGGCGCCGTATCAAATGCAAAGATTATTATTATTGTTATTATTTTATTATAGGAACATAAGAAATGCTAGACAAAAAAAGACCAAGGTCCATCTCGTTTGCCTTCCACCTTCCTGGCAGTCACATGCACATATGTCCCAAACTCCCTATGTCCTGTATCGCATAATGTTATTTCATTAAAGAAAACTATCTAATCTGTGTTTGAAAGTATCAACACTTACTGCTTCAACCGTCTCCCTAAGGAGCCTGTTCCGTAGGTTCACTATTTGCTCACTGAAATAGTGTTTGCGTAGATTTGTTCTGGATTTACCTGTATCATATCCCTTAGATACTGTTGAACTGCGGACTTAAAAATTCCTTGGCGTCTGCATTTCCAACACTTGCCTGGTCCAACATTGTCGATGAAAAGATATGCATTACCTTCAATAAGTGCCACTGCATTCCTCTTTCAGGATCTAATGATTCCTCAAGGACCACAAACAAAACACAAGTGAACATCAACGTGTCTCTTGTGTGTTAATCCATGTTCTAACCAAGAAGAGTAGGAACCAACGTTAGCTTCCAGAAATTCATGAGATCCTAATTCATACTTCCTACAGCTACTTATAAATGTAGTGTTTGCTCTTCTAATTGCTTGCATTTCCTCATTTGTATTCTTGACCTTTGACATATTGGAAAATCAAATCAAATTTAATTGGAACACAAGTGTTCACCCATTTCCAGAAAACTAATCACTTCTGCTTGACAGCAATGTTAATAAAATATTAATATATCTGCTCTGGTATATATATATATGGTATATGTTGTGTTAAGAATTGGTCACTTATGTTTTCGCAAAGCTACGACAAGAAAATGTGTTTCGCTCTTTCACTTGTTTCTTAATTTTACCGCCAAGAGGAGAATAAGGTGCAAAGGCCCGTCAACACGGACAATGTATCATCGGATAAATCAACTCTAATTTCCTGAAGGAAATACCTTTACAATTATTTTCTATTTGCAACAGCTTATTTGCTTCAATCTTCAAGCACCCTAGTATCTCTACTCTTCAACCCAAGTCATCGCACCTCTTTCCCAGACATGCCACCATTTACTTGATATGCAGGAATGCAGAATGACGCGTATATTTCCGTAAATGTGCAAATTTGGGTGTATAGGTGTGTACACCTGTGCGCGTGCTCGCGAGTGTGTGCTTGTGCGCCTACATTTTATGCTGCAAACTTTTCAAGCAATGCACTGCTCTTAAAAAAGGTTTCACACACAGTTTTCTACCAATATACCTGCAAAATTCCCTCGCTTCGGAAGAAGGACGGGGTTAACGAATACTCAGTTCACCTGATGAATCTTGAAATTGGAATCTTTGAGGCGTTCCCTGAGCTGCCTCACAATCTCGTTGATGTAAACCAGTTTTATTTTACATTTGCTTACGAGTTTTCGTTTAAGAAACGGCTACATTTACGGAACGGGCTCAGTAACTCAATGCCAAGCGTCACATTCTATCTGAACAACAGTGCTGGTTTTCCCCAGTTTTCTCCCCGTCTTTCCTGAAAGCAGAGACTTATGCTGGATTCTGCAGGATCTCATTCAAGTGTCTTCTTGAT